TTTGCAACTGACGTCATCGTCGCCATTTTGGATGACCATAAGCAAAATACCGTAAATCATCGAATTAGCGATAGGGGCGCTTATTTCAAATTTAGGAGAAGACGGGGGGCGCTTATTCGAGGGGGGTGATTAATCGAGGGAGGGGCGCTTATTTAATTTTTCCCAAATCGTAGCCTGACATGATCATTTTTTTAATACATCATCTGCTCGTAAACAACAATATAACCTGTTTATCGACATAAAATTAAAGCCGATCCTAAAGTTTAAATCACGGCACCGTTAGTACTTGTAATTTTTTTTCCAATTTAAACGTGTTCCCAAAATACAATACTAATACTACACGGCGAAAACTATACATCCTTTGTTGTCTCCTTACTCGTCAAAAAATTGGGGGAGGCGAGGGGGCGCTTTTTAAAGGGAAGGCGCTAATTTGATAATTTTCGGTAATTTAAATTAGCCCCAATTGTTCCTGTTATCCAACATGGCCACCACGGTCTTTGACATTTGAATCTCCCGGGAATGGTTTCAAACCACCGATTGGTGCGGGTACTACTCTAAAAATATAGTTTACACAAGTAAACATGGCTTTCACGAGAAACGATGTCTTTTACCTTTTTCTTCCTTCGCAGCACTTCTATTTGTCCCGTGCCCGCGACAGTCGTTCCATCCGAGCAAGTTAATGATCCTTCCGTAAGTGGCTTAGAGAAATGCTTTGACCCAAAATGCAACGAGAAGACAGATTCAGGGTCATGTGACGGGGTCGTGGGTTGCTATTGGTGCGTTAGAGACAAGAACGACGCTCCACTTTCCAACAAATACTGCGCTGATATCAATGTCTGTTATGGCGGCAAGGAAGGTAGGTTGCAGTAAATTTCTTACTGGTCAGCTTTTATAAGAAGCAGTTCTGTCTTATTACTAACACCGGATGCAAAGATTCACTCAGGGGCTTTGATGTGACCTTCTTTTAAGAGAGAATTGGGGGCTTTTCTAATAATGTTACTGTAAATTCTTCAGCACGTAATGTAAATCATAGCAAAATAAATAATTTGATTGGGAGTGATCGAGTTCGAGAAGTGAAGCTGCCCTCATTATGGAAGTAGATGGTAAAAGTGAAAGTAAAGTCTGTATACGAGCCTAGTGGCCCATTAGGCCGGAACGTATCCCCGGCCGGTTCCTGTGGCATGAAGCGACTAGGAGTATTTCTATACCCTCCGGATGGAATGCTAGTCTATCGCAGGGTTACCCCAGCATTAAGTTCGCTGGTACCCATGTATACACCTGGATGGGGAGAGGCACTGATGGATCAAGTGATAATAACTACAAGTAAAATGTTACTAGACGTATGGTTTGAAATGTCCGTAGTAAGAGGAATTCTCCTGTTAGGACCATATGCTGTGATGTGATTGGTTACTATAAACTAATGGATTTATCTGTTTGTTCAGGCACAAGAGCTCCTGGAAGCAGTGGTGCTCCTAAGGACCCCGACGACGACGATAATGATGACGACAAAGGTGGAATGTCAGGTGGAGCCATTGCTGGTATCGTCATTGGAGTAATAGTCGTTATTATTTTAGCAGTAATTATAGTCGTCAAATGCAGTAATAGAGACAGGGTACCCAAGAACCAACCTGTCCAACCAGTGGCAGCTCCGCCCGCCGTGGTGTCTTACAATGCTCCTA